TTGGGGAAGGTCACTTCGAGAGCACCCCCGCTCGCCCGATCAAAGATCGGCCTTTATTAACCATGATATCGAGTTTTGAAAACATTATGTGTTCTTATTCCGGTTATTAGCCTAGATTTACAACGTGATGCACACAGCATACAAGTATAGACTCGGTTGCCTGAATTGGAACAAAACATCTCATGTTCGTTTTGAAAAACGATTTGCTACTCGCAAGTAGGCTAAGACATGGATTTTTCCACCCTCGGGTGGGCTTAGAAAACATGATTTTGCCACTATCTAGTGGGCTTAAAACTCACAGTCAACGCATTATTCCAATTCAGATAACCCAACCTTCACCCACAAGCACTTAGACAGGTATATCACATAAGCAAATAGCCTCATGGTAAGCATGCTATCATGGCAGTCACTCACACGCATGCAAGGATGCTAAAGCATAAACACTTACCGAGTACTCCAAGCCAAAGAAAGAAGCTAATTAGAAATCATGCATGAATCCTAACTATGTTAAGAATGCCTAATGCAACACATGCAAAAATGCAACTACAATACGCTCGGCTATTCTAAGATGGCATATGATAATGCTACAGCTAACACGTATTCAATTTCGAATTGAAATACAAATGCATTTAGTATGATGCACCAAGCCCGATGCATGCAAAACAGATGAATGATTGCAAACATGCTATCATACTGTATGCTAATTGAAACATGCCCTAATCTAACCATCATAAGCTGGTAAATAAAAGGGAGAAAGACGTAGGGTTGGAAGACATACATCACACACACGCACACTTATTACACAATTGCCCTCGCTCGAAGGGTCCGAATAATACAAAACCAAATGAATAACGAACTACAGCTAATTATTACACAACATTAACTAATTAACAAACTAGCTAAGTAAGCATGTAAACTAAATGAATGTGACTGCCTCGGCTCTGTTTTGGATGACAATGGATGCATGCATGCTTGAGTCGCCTCGTCGGGAAATCCATCGCGATGTCTCATCTCGCCTTTGTGTGCAATTGATTTAGAAACTTGCACAAAGCTCCAAGAGGCTGAAACTCCACCCTGGAAGACTGTGGGAAGGCTGCCGACCAGCCCTTGGCTATGGAGACCACCCATCGACCACCTTTTGTGGGAGAAACCCAAAAGGGTGGTCGGCCTGCCAGAAAAGCTGGTCGGCCGACCACTTTCTGCCCTTGGATTCTATTTTTTTCTGCAACAAAGGCAAGAGAGAAAACGGGCAATGTGTTTTCAACAAATGTGTGCATGACCATTCTCCCTATCATTGCACAAGCTCTAGGGAGTGTAGTCCTCGATCCTCGTGCCACCAATCACGTATCTCGATGCATAATGGCCGAGGAGTCGAATTGCACGGCTCAATGGGACATGAATGCACATATAAGCAACTAAAGTCGACGACTCTATCATGGATAGTCAAGAGTGCTGGCGACCGAGAATCGAAGCACGATTCGTCACTTGGAGTACGAAACATCCCTCGTTTCCCGTGTTTGGACTACACCCTACTCCAAACGAAATGCAATATGCATGACATGCATGAATGTAACTCTAACATGCAAACTAGATGCAATGCCACTGAATGACACAAACATGAAAGGAATGAAAATGCAAACATGCACCTAGCATATACAATGCTAACACTATATGGCATGCACAATGCTCATGAACTATGGCATACTCAGTGCGACTGACAACCTAGCATGCACAATGCGAGGAATGACATGGCATACACAATGCTAACAACATAACATGCACAACACATTGCAACATGGCGTACACAATTCAAGATGGACTTACACCAATATGAGTAGACCTCAGCCACACTCACATCAGTGGCCGTATGATGGAAATGAGACACCTGAAACACATGCAAACATGCACGATGCAAGGGATCGATCCTAAGGCATCAAATGCCACTCTACCAAAGCATGGAAAAGGATGCAATATGGCATACAAACACACAAATTCCAGCTCTGAAACATGATACGAAATGGTCCCAAAACATGCAAACATGGCACACAATGCAAGCTAGGGGGCCTGGGTACCGAAACTAGTGAAGTGCGTTACACTAGAGGTACCCAAAGCAATGCACCAATGGAAAAATCAACCCCAAACAGATCCTAGGCAGGTCTGAAACAGTGGGCAAATGGCCTAAAATGATGGCTCGGAATGCAACGAAATAGAGCTCATTCAATGGTCGGTAAACGGGGGATACAAGCCCGACTCTCAAACGCATTTAAAGAGTATAAAACATGGCAATATGGCATTGATACAAGCTCTGAAATATGATGTAAAATGGACCCAAAACATGAACACACCTCAGTATATACATGTAATGAGCCTCAAAACTCAAAGTTAAGCATGGGTATTGAACTACAAGCATGCAAAACAAACATCATTCCACCAGAATACCCAAAAATAGAGCTAGGGTAGTCCAAAATATGCACAAAATCAGTTTAAGGCAAGGCCAAAAGGAGCTAAAATCAAGGGTCAACAAAGCATGCGAAATAAGTCAGTGAACCACGATTTACACTACAAGTATGTGAAGCACATGAGGGCTCACTGAACCAGCCAAAAACAGAAGTATGCCATGCCAAAATATGCCTAAATAACCACTAAAACTCAATCAATGCATGCAAAAATAAAGTGTTCCTTTGGAAGGCCATGAGGTGGATTACTTTACACATACATGATGGACATACAAAGTGGCAAAACTACCTCTGGAAAGAGGTTATGAAAGCCCTAAAACTCACTGAAAAATGACTGAAATGGGTCAATGATGCATGCAATGAAAGGTCCCTTTGAAAGGCCTTGAGGAGGATTGCTTTACACATGCATGAGGGACACAAAATGTGGCCAAAAATGCTTTGTACAGAGCTAAGGAAGACCTTAAAACTCACCGAATAGGGCCTGAAATGTGACTTCACAACATGCAAGTAGGGGCCCCTTTGGAAGGCCAAAAGGGCCAACAATCAGGACAAGGAGAGAGGGGGTCACCCCCCTCTGATTTTGCCTCTCAAAATAGTGTTATAGCCACTGAAAATCCACTGGATTTCAGTGGCTAGGAGGCCAAACAAAGCATGAAACAAAGGCCTAGGTGCAAGGCTCAAAACAAGAGGCAAACAAGCATACAAGGAGGTAGATGACCCCCAACAGAAAAATTTCCTTAACCAAACTTCAAGTGGGGCTCAAAAAAAATACTCTTTTCAGTTTATGACAAACCTCGAAAATGCTTTCAAGCAAGGCTAAGATAGGAAGCAAAATAAGCCTACAAAGAGGGATGAAGCATACAAGGAGGTAGATGACCTCAAACAGAAAAGTGCCCTTAATCAAACTTCAAGAGGAGCCCAAAATAAGACACTTTTCAGTTTAAGACGAAACCCAAAAATTCTTGCAAATAGGGCTAAGTTATGAAGCAAAATAATGCAAAAATGAGGGAAATGATGACTTACCCTTGTAGCACAGCAATGTAGCAAGTTCTGGACCAAAATAAGAACTCTCCAACCTCTAAAAATGAGCTCCTAGGTGCTTAGGTTGATTATGGAGGTGTTGTGCTTGGAGGTGTAGTGCAATGGGACCAAGAACAAGGGTTTTTGGAGCTTGGAATATAGAGATATGGAGGGAAAATGTATGTATGCTCAAAACAGGTTCTGAACCCTAGCAACGGAAGAAGGCCCTTTCCTTTGTAGAGGAGAAGGTCTAAAGCTTCTCCAAGAAGCTTAAAAGCTAGCTTAAACATCCTCCATACACGTGTATGGAGGATGCATTCTGAGGCTTCCAGTTGGCACAGCTGGCTTCAACTCATTGAGACAAAAAAGGAGAAAGCTGGCCGACCAGTTCCGGTGGTCGGCCAACCACTTTCCCTGGTCGGGCAACTAGGTCAAAAGGTTCAGGTGGTCGGCCGACCACTTTTTCTAGTTGGCCTGCTACTTTTTCTGGTTTTTCAAGACAAAAAATTGGTCTGCCAGAAAGAAAGGTGGTCGGCCAGTGATTGGGAAGTCCAAAAGTCGTCGGACAGGTGTCCAAATTGAAGCCCCAGAAGTTAGCTTTCCAATGGCACCAGCCTTGCATCAATATTCCTCCTGTGCAAAAAGTTATGCCTTTTTTGGTGAAGCCGCGCAGATTCGGTCTAACCGGAGTGATGCCCTACTTCAATCAACCATATCTCCCCCGTCCGGACTTGGCTTTAGGAGATTCTTGAGTGAAAAATGAAGCCCCGGAAGTAAGCTTTCCAATGGTGGTGGCCTCATAGCTGAAATCTAAGTATACAAATGAATAGGCCTAATTCAGCGAGGACTGTTTGTCCATCTCTTAACGGTTCATGCCCATTTTCTCCCCGAACTAGGTTTCTTCCCCCTTCTCTTCTTTTCTTCAACTCCAAACCCCTAAGTAAGGTGTTTTGAAATATTTTTCAAATATCTCATCTCTCTTTCATTCATTTCCACTTTGTCCTTGCTCGGTTTACCGAAAAGCGCAACATTTAACGAAATGTGAGCGTCAGAACATCGTAGTAACTTTATTTTCAAAACATTTTGAAAGAGAGGGTTTCAAGGTCCAAAATGTTTTGATCAAGATTGTTTCGGTCCAAAAGGGGTGTGAAGTTGAGATTTGACTCTCTCCTTGCCGAAGAAACTGAATCTTTGCCTTGCACACCTTTCTTCACCAAGTAAACCATTAGTAGTGCCCAAGTCTTAAGGGCGGTCAAAAATGGGGTGTCTACAATGCCGTTAATTGGTGAGACAAATAATGGCGCTAATTGCGCGTCGTAAAATATGTAATACAACGACTTAATGCTAGTCATTAAATATTTAACACAACGGCCTATTTTGACCGTCGTAGAATATGTATAATTTTTTTTTTTAAATTCAGTAGGTTTTATTTCACTTGTTTTGTACAATCTAAAAAAACATTACAAACAAAATTCACAAATATATATATATATACATAAGTATCAATCAAGCATCAAAATATTATTTCAAACATCAAAAAAATTATTCATAAGTTTCGAACATCCAAAAACTGTCTGTACATTCCAAACCATCCAAAAACTAAGTTTCTAAACATCAAAAATTGTCCTCAACTTCAAAACCATCCAAAAAAGTTCTAAATTATAGATAGTTAAGATACTAAATTTTCAATGTTGACATCACTCACTTGAAGGCGAGAAGAGTGCAGAAATATGTTGAGACTCTTGATATGTTGAAGATCAAAAACTTAATGCCAAATAGCAATGAAAGTCAAATAAATCCCACAATTGCAATCCCATTTCAACAGCAACAAGCGAGGTGTTCAGTTGGCCATTTGTGAGGCCTACTGGAGTCAAAACTATGAGATAACGAAAAGTGAACATCTTCGTTACCTATGTTCAATTATCAATGTGATAAATCTACATACACAATTTCTTAAACATCAAATAAGACCAACATATACGAAAATTCCACAGGAGAAATTCCAAAATATTAAATTAAACAACATCACCACATGTTTCTAATGGCTATATTTAAATATATATATATATATATAAAAAAATATGTCCAAAAAAAAAAAGAAGCAACTATCAGAAAAATACCTGCTACCAAGTTCCACACCGAAGAGTGCCCTTATGGTATCCATATTTTCGCTGCAAATAAAAATTATCGAAGATGATTGCATTAGAATTAAAGAGAAACCAATACTTACAAAAAAAAAAGAAAAAAGAAAACCGATGATCCTTAACAAACACAGCAAGTTGTCTAAAAAGAAGAGACAAAATTTTGAGTGAGCACTACACATGATAGAAGCATAGCATAACAAATCTCATGAAATGAAGGGGGAATAAACAAGGTTTCCAAGAGAGAAAAAAAAGGACAAACTAAATTTCATTGAAAGAGAGTCGCATTAAGCATGAAAGAGAGAGAGAGAGGAAAAAATAGGTAAGCATCTGCCAATAGTATAAGATACTATGGTAATTGATGAAAAAAATAAACTCAAACATTGATATTATTGAATTGGTGCACCAACTGTGCAAGGTATCCAAGAATTTAAAAGACTATCTCAAGGATTTAGCTTATGACTAAAAACTATGAACTTATTTTAACCAATTACAGACAACACATCAATCCAAAATCAAAGTAATTTAATGCCTCTAGCAAAGAAAAAGATACCTGGAACCTGGTGATCTAAGTGATTGAGAGAGGGTGTACAAAAGTTGTGTCCAACATTCTTCAACATCCTGTCATATATTTAAAGGCTATATTGTCCACAAAGCAACCTTGGCTCTGATAAAATTTTAAGATAACAAGTAGTTCAAAAGATTCAACTATGATCAAAACTTCTACAAATAAGGTCCATTTATTTATGAAGGAAATAAAATTCAATAAATACAAAAAGTAAATCACACTGCAGCCCAAAGAAGGAGAAGTCTTCTCTGATTCTGATTTCAGACCCTGCATGGAGTAAATCAATATACTGTCAACTAGATCTGCTACTGCAAGATTGAGGGTAGAGATTATTGAGAATCTACGAAAAGAAATAATGCTTCAAACCCAAGTAGATTCACCTTGCTAAAAAGCATATGTTATAAATTAATTGACAAGATGTTTACAGGTTTGTTTATTTCATTTGGATGGAGAATCTCAAGAATTGGAGATTACCTACTAACGACAAAAGGAAAAAGAACAAGGAAGAAAGGGATGGAAGAGGAATCCTTCAATGGAGCTCATGTATTTCCATTAGAAATGATTGGTTATCAGATTCTTTTATTTTTAAAATGAAATGGCTATTCCAATTACATTTTCTTTATTTATTTCTTGTAGCTCAAAGGGTGTTAGCTGACACATTTTGTTTTATTTCATTTTAATGGGTAAATTACAGGCCTAATGGGTGGGCTTGGCACAAGATTTTTAATTTTTTCCTAGCATAGTCTAGGCTTAGGTGATGCCCACCCTTAATATCATTTTAAAGTTGATTGTGCCGTCATTTTTGCAGAATAAATTTAGCCAAAATCTTGTTGACCCACCAACTGAGGAGGCATCTATTTCTCTTTGCTATTTCATGGAACTACAACTTGAAAATATGTCCAGGTTCAAAGACGTTCTTTTTCTATTTGAGGATTTATTTGTACTTGACAGTTCAATGATTGTACGAGCAAGAAATAATTTTCTTGTATAATCCTGTTGATCAAGTCTGCGCTCCTCCAAACGTCGTCGCTTTACTCCCTGAAAACACAAACGTGAGCTAGCCGGCGGGTGTGTGCCGGATACCTCTCCGATGCCTAAGTCAGCAAAATAGACAAATAGATAAAAGCTCTGTGTATTCGAGAATCAAAGTTGTGTTACCTCTTCCAAAGGTTATGTTGTGAGCCTTTATAGGTTCTGCATGGCACAATCCTTGTAGGACTCTTATTCCTCCATGTAGAGTCCTACTAGGAGTCACACTCCTGAAAGATAATGCTTATCTTTCAATACCCCCTCACTGCTTAAACCAAGTGAGATGGTCCTAGCTCGGTGGTACGACCAAACGACCGAGCTAGTTTTGTCATGTGGAAATGACAACTCAAACCGAGCTATGCCTTAGCTCATCCCTTCCTTTATTTGTTTTTACCTCGGTTGTGCCCATTGAGACCGAACTAACCTCGGCAAGCTTCCACCGCGCCAACCAGAACGAGGTCCATCAAGTCAAAGCACCATACCTCGGCTTCGAATACCCTGACCGAGCCAACTATCTCTACTCCGGCCGTGGTGACTGTGATTATTCTTGGACTAAGCTAACACATGCTAGGTCCCTTCCATACTTGGACCCAGCTAACACCTGGACTGTGGCCCACTTACTAAGCCCTTCTTACTATGGCCCATAAAACGGGCCATTACCCAGCTCGGCCCGATTTACTCATAAATTACCCTCTCAATTGCCCCTTAATTCCATCTGCGTAGCATGATCGGGATTACCCGTTTCCAGCCGAGCTAACCACTTTAGTTTTTTAACTGAGCTAAACTGTAGCCTTCAACCGAGCTAAATTCATACAGGGCTACATTTACACCGAGCTACTTATCTGTCCGGTCAAAACGTCTTTTCAGCCGCTGCAACTGAATCGCTTTTTATTCCCTGGACACATGGCTAGCTTCTATTCGTCAAGTATAGCTGTCACGCCATCTTCGTACTTCGTGAGATTTGAACAGTCCCGCCCAATTTTCACCTTCTCTTTACACAAAACTAAACTCCTTGCTTCGAATCAATTACTTCTACTATTCATCTTCTTCTCTCTCTCTCTCTGAGCCTCCATTTCTCCTCAACCTTACACTTGCAGAGCTCGTGTTTCTTGCTATTGCTACCTCCATCTTCAGTGCCTTCATCTTGAACTGGTAAGTGGTCCAAATCTACTTCCTTTTCGTCGATTTCGCACACGTTTCGCAACACATAGCATGTTTATTTGTATGTTTTTCAAAGCATACACCATTTTTTGTTCCCTTTTTCTGGAAAAAACTCGTGTAATAGAACATTGTACTTATGAACAATCTGAAATTTTTTCCTTTTGATCCAAAATCACACTTCAACCAAACTAGGATTCTGTTTGTATTAAGTACAAGCTTAGCCAAGCCGAACAACCGAACTAAAATTACACACCATACTTGTAGTTTCAACAAGTCTCAGTACCTTTTTCTCATCTTAACCGAGCTAGCGAACCGTACTAGGTTTGCGTAATGCCGCACTAGAAAGCCTTCACTACTTGACCGAGCCACAACTTGGGGCTACTCCAGCTCTCTTAGTCAAAAATTGAACTAAGAATGCTGTCCCAAATGCTCAACTGGGCTTAAAGACCCTTGCTCAAACCGGGCTAGGAATGAACATCTACCCACATAGCCGAGCTAGGACTTCATTTATCTTGCCTTTGTGCTTTTAGCACGGTCCAACATCTTGACGACCTCTTTGTAACACCTTTCTTTTTCACTTTACGAACTTAGGTTGGCTAGGCACTCCCTTGAACGCTCAACTGAGCTACTCAGTGTCATTTCACGACCGAGCTAATACTCTATTAATTTATACATAATTTAAAACCTCATGGGTAAATATAGGTTTTTGGTAAATACCCTAGGTCCTATGGCCGAGTTCCAAAGGGACTACCATATCCCTGATGATGTCCATCTTACTCTAGTCGAACTAGATATCACACCTTGGGGAAACCCTGGTTTTGTTCCCTTTACCTTTTTTTCCATTGTAAAAACCGGAGTTAGATTCCCTGTACAGCCCCTTCTTTGCGAGTTTCTCAGACAAACCAACCTCTGTCCTACCTAGCTTTCCACAAATTCATACCGCATAATAAATGGCATCGCCGAGCTAAACTGCCGGGCTGGCCTTAGCCTCGGTTTAGTCGAGCTCTTCCACTAATATTCCATAGGATCAAATGAAGATGACTGGGTCTACTATCTAAGAATAAGGCGTCGGTGTGAAAAGATAATAAAGAATACCCCGGACAAGGATGTAAACGCTGATGGTTTTTTCTGGGTTTCTGGGAACTTCGAAGACCATGAAGCCCAGATCCTTGGCGACCGAATTAATTTAAATAAAGGAGTCACCGGTATAACTACCTCGACCCAATTTCATGTTCTTTCTCTTACTTCGGTACTTACTTTTAACCGTACTAACTATTGTCTCATTCTTTCATGCAGATTTGAACTTTCTCAAGTCCCAGTACAGCTACCCTAACTTAAACACACTTCCCGCCGTACTCCGATATCTAAATATGAGCTGGGCCGAGCTACTGAATTTTGAACCGACCTGCCGATATAGTAGCCATAGAAAGACCAGGGTGACCGATTTCCTCTTAGAACCATCCCCAGAACCTGATCCTTCCCTTCCACAAGTCAACTTGATCCCATTGACTGCGAAGCAAGAGATGACCAAGAAAAGAGCAGTAAGGGCCCTTCTAACTGAAACAAACCAGGTCGAGGTACCACCAGCCAGCCAAACTCAAGAGACCGTGGTAGCCCTGCTAACCCATCAGCCTTCAACATCGCGGGCAAGCAAGCGTGCACGGATTTCCACAACCGAGCCACGCCTTGTTGATGAAGAATGCACCATTTTCCCACAATCTACTCCACCAAGCCCACAATTGGAGCACTCAGACCGAGCTAGCTCCTCCAAGTGGGTGCCAAGGTCACTTTCAAGAATCGCGCTATCACAGACTCCGATTCAGTGGTCGCGGAAAAAGATCATTTGCTGGCCTTCAATCTGGCCAAGAGCGTCTGCCTTCCAGCCGACATGAATCATCATGATCACCTTACCGAGCTGAAAGCCATTCGCTCGGATTCAAAGTCAATGGTGTTGGTAAGTTCTCTTTTTCATTCTCCAAATTTCAACATCTTTTAGCTTGGTTCCTACTCAATACTGCCTCCCTCCCCTCGCAGGCCTTACAGAAAAACCACATTGCTCACAAACGCGTGCTGGAACTTCGAAAACTACAAGGCAGGCTATGGCAGAGGCCAATGAAAAAACGACCGAACTAAAAGAATCTCAGCAAAAGATGGCCGAGCTACAGGTTGAAGTAGCCCGACTAACTGGCCTAGTCAATTCAGCCGAAGCCGATAAGAAAAAGGCTATGGCCATGGTGAAAGATAAATACTTGCGCGAGCTGGCCAAGCTCAAGGGAAAAAAGAACGCCGAGATAATCAAGCTAGAGAAGAAGGTTGAGGATGCAGAAGACTGTGGTTACAAGGAATGAGAGGCCACTTACATCAAGCAATGTGAAGCTGCAAAAGATCTTTTCTTCAAGTGTGGATGGATGGCTGCTGTGGCGCAGCTCGGTCATAGCCCAGAGACCGGGGTCTTCAACCCTCCTCCGTATTTCATACCGAGCTCTATAGCGGAGTACACTACCGCCATTCAGCAAAAATTTCTGCAAGAGGAGGACGAAAATGCTGCTCTAGAAGACAACACCCAGCCTGGTCGCCAGTCTATCTCCCCAACTCCAGTGGTCTCCATCCTACCTTTTTATGCAGTGTCTGATGCGGTGCCTTCAACCGAGCTGAACCAAGAGGTGCTTGCAACAATCGAGCTACCTCTGGGTAAAGACCGGATTGTTTTGGACGCCGACCTAGACGACCTTTTCTCCTGATTTTTTTTTTGTCTAGCAAAATAATTTGTAGCTGGGTTAAGGCCTTACCTTTTGTACTTCTGATCTGCGCTTATCAATGAAATCTTCTTTTGTTCCAACTGTTTGTTCAGTTTCTTTCTATGCTTGTATTTACCTTCCAAATGTAATCTAAATGTAGTGTGGCATTCTCTGGCCGAGATATTTATCCCGGTCTTAACTTTGCAATCTAACTAGCCATACCTGCCAACCTCTTCAGCCTAGATTCTTATCTCGCCTGAAGAACAATAAGTGTTGATTTTCCAGCCAACCACTCTTCAGCCTGGGTCTTTACCTTGGCTGAAGAGTGCTAAGTGTTAGTTTTACCAGCTAACCACTCTTCAGCCTTGATCCTTATCTCGGCTGAGGAGTACTGAGTGTTAGTTTTTCTAGCCAACCTCTTCGGCCTAGATCCTAATCCTAGCTGAAGAGAGCTCGAGGTTGGTTATTCTTGCCAACCTAAAGTAAAGTGTTTGGTTATTCTGACCAAACGTCCTGCAGCCTGGATCCTAATCCTGGGCTTAGGAGAAGTGTTGGTTTTTCCAGCCAACCTCTAAGTTAGTTAATCCTGACAACCTCTAAGTTGGTTGTTCTTGCCAACCTAGAGTAAAGTGTTTGGTTATTTCGACCAAACGTCCTGCAGCCTGGATCCTGATCCTAGGCTTATGAGAAGTGTTGGTTTTTCCAGCCAACCTCTAAGTTGGTTATTCCTGCTAACCTAGAGTAAAGTGTTTGGTTATTTCTGCCAAACGTCCTGCAGCCTGGATCCTTATCATGGACTTAGGAGGGGTGTTGGTTATTCCAGCCAACCTCTAAGTTGGTTGTTCCTGCCAACCTAAAGTAAAGTGTTTGGTTTTTCCGACCAAATGTCCTGTAGCCTGGATCCTTATCCTAGGTTTAGGAGAAGTGTTTGTTGATTTTTCTAGCCAACCTCTTCAGCCCAGATCCTAATCCTAGCTGAAGAGAGCGCAAAGTTGGTTATTCCGGCCAACTTTGCTTTTATTGTCCCTAGCTCACTAAAACAACTTTTACAGAATAAAACAATTATGCTGAAAAGAAAACTACTTGTTTTATTGAAGAAAAGAAAAATTACAAGTATGTCTAAAGAGAAAGCTGAAAATAAAATAGTTTGAGATTGATAGTGTTCCATGGCCTGGGAATGACTTTGTTGTCCTCGTCTTCCAAGTGGTATGCCCATTTTCGTGCTAACCCAACCACTTTGTAAAGTCTTACCCATTTGGGCCCTAACTTGCCGTCTCCAGGTACCAAGGTGTTTCCCATTACTTTGCGTAGTACCCAATCTCCAACTTTGAATTGCCTTGGATGTACTATCTT